CTGGTGTCTTGCTCAGGGGAGAGCAGGTAATCCATAGCATCCTCCACCTCCTCTTGCCCACACTGCTCTTACACAGCCTGCAGTCCTAGTGAGATCATCCTTTCTGCTATTCTCTTACATCAATGGTTGCTGCTATTTTTAGTGTGATATACACCAAAAAGCATAACGTAAGAGATCCTGTTGCTAAAATTAGCTGGAAAATTATAGGCTGTTTTACTGTTTTGTGCACAGTCTTCATTTGCCTCGCTGGGATTTGCGTGCAGATCTTCAAACCCCCGAAAGCCAGCAAAGTGAGATGGTACCTGCAGTCCTCATGTCCAAGAGCAGTACTCTTGAAAAGAGTGGGACTATTTTATATCAGCAAGGGCTGGAGGCAAAGTCTTAGGTTCCACCTATAGGAGGGAAATACATTTTATTTTAAAAGTAAGGATTTACAGTCAATGAGATTTGAAAAACATAAATGTATGGACTTTCTTTGTACTTAGTGTAACGTCCCATTTTATTACAGCAGCCCACATTTGTCTCCAGGAGTATTATCTGTGATACAATATGCTAATGCACTACCTTGCTCCAAACATGAGAAAGCACTTTGGATGTAGTCCAGTTTTAACCCTGTCGTAGGGCTTGCCTTTGCTGTTAACCGAAATAACAGCAAATGAAAGTAAAGAAACATCCTGACTCTTCCTCTGAACTTGGCCAATCCTAGGTGTGAGGTGCATGTTTGAACCAAAGGGTAGTGGTCATTCCCACTTGTTTCATGACTCCTCTGCCTCACTCTGCCCTTTCAGTCCTTACAATCTCCATCTCTTCCATTCCTTGAGTGAAAACCGCTTGGCCACACCTAATCTAAACGTGCTGTGCAAGGAGCTGCTTCTGACTGTCAAAGTAAAGGTTCAACATCTGACATCAAAATGATTCCTGAAAAAAGTCCTGTCATCCAGGCGGAATTGCAAATTCTGGCCATTTGGAGATTTTAAAAATTAAAAGATCCCCAAAACAGCTGTATTTCTTATGCAAATCCTTAGCCAAATGGGAACTTGTAAGTATTAAATAAATTGTTTGCCCTCTGTTAAAAAATGATCATCTAGAAACCCAACAATTTGGGGGGGACAGGTTTTAAGCGGGCAAAGCAGTCTTACAAACAACATTTCTCCCGTGTCCTGTGAACTGTTGTGCTATTGTGATTTTACAGTGCTATTTCTCTACTTTTGCAGGATTTTTCTCTTTAATGTTATGTGGAAAACCCTGAACAAAAACTGGCACTTAATGCAGAGTAAACAGTGGCAGTGACTGAATAGAAACCTGATGTCAAATATACAACCACCTTGGGAAAGTCAAAATCTATTGCTTTCTCATCTCTTCCAGTTGTTGCCTTCTTAAGTGTATTATTCATAAAATTAGCAATTTAAAAATGCATAGAAACATTATTTTTTATATTCATAGCGTCACTTTAAAAAAAAGGTTTAAAATCGATTTGCTGGCCTCTTGGGGAAATGCTGTAATGTTTTTGGCTGTCTCCTACTTTCTGCTGCCAGCTAAAAGTACCATCTGGCTTGTTTAGGGCCCTTTTCCATATCAGGTGCTTCCAAAATTCTCCCCAACCAGAGGATTGTTTCATTGGGTTGCTTTGCCTGCTGAGGCATGTGTCCTGGGCTGGGAATCCTACTGCTTCTGTTCCCTGCCATCTTGCTGACGGTGGTGTGTGTATGTTTGGGCACAGATCTTGCTGCCTCTCTCCCGAGGACATTTGCATCATTGTCAGCTGCACATATTAAATTGATATGCAGGGCTCAGAAACACGTATCCCATCTTTTGTCCCTTTGTTTGTGCAATTGTTGTGGTTTTAATTCTTCTTTGACACCTGGAATATCACAAAGCTGCTGATAATCTGTTGGCTACTAAGGGAAATGACATTGATAGAAGGATAATGTGTGTCAGACTTATATCTAGATAATTGCAGACACACCCCGAACCCTTGCAGCTCAGGGAATGAATATCCTAAATCCATTATTAATTTGGAGAGTCGTATGTGGCAGTTGGCTGCGGTGTCATCTTCTCACTGCAAGAGTCACTTGCAAGGGATTTTAAAAGACACTTTTGGTTAATTCTGCATTGCTGTGTCTAGTTATGCCTAATACGAGTCAATTTTGGTACATTCTTGCTGCCATTTCGTGGTGGTGTGAGGAGCTGTAACAAAATGGGGTTGATGTCCTAACTCCTCACTGAAGGATGCTTCCCATGTGCCTTCTCCTGCACAGGCATAAGATACCAAAAGATGAGAACTGATGCACTATACGTGGTACCAGTTGACAGTGACACCTCCTCCTCAGGATTCTTTGTTTTTCCAATTTGCTGTTTTACTTAGAAATAGAAATCTACCCCTCAAAGGATTTATGAGTAGATTTGAAGTATTGTAGTTGCTAAGTATAGACTCTTGATGTGATCATATGGAAAGATGGAGCGTGTTTTGAAATAGATACGGCCATAAGCTGTCTTGTCCTATTTCTAAAATCATCTGTGCCATACACTGCTGACTTTTCCTGTCCATCCATTAAAAAGTGAATTATGAAGAGTGCTGAGACAAACAGATAGTAGTTTAACCTTGTTAGTAAATATCAGGAGGCTGATATATACTGCTAGAATGTTACATCACAGCCTTTCTCTTCAATATAGGTTTATGAAATTATCTTGTTACTATATAAACTGCTTTCGCTGTGTACATTCTTCCAGAGGTTTATTGTTCTTTGTATGTTGGCACAGTAGCATGACTCTGAAGAGTCAGTTCATGATATGGTGAATTTTAAAGACTTGGGAGATGGCCATATCTATTTTTCAGCAAAGGAATGAAAGCTTTTTTTTTTCCTAAGGTATTAAAAGTTTCAAGAGATGTGCTGAAATGAAAAGGAAATAATAACTAAAGACTGGATGAGCAGTAGTGCCTCAGAGTACTGACTTTGTTTGTTTGCTTGTTTCCCCCAAAATCTTAATATTTTAAGTACAAGTTAATATTTTAAATCAAATAAACCTGTTTTGTGAACTAGTAAGATACTTGAACTATATCACACATTATTCATTTATTTTTGTGTGAGTGCAATAAAAATTTTACAAGCTGTAATCTTGTTCTTTTAATAGAGAGAAAACTATGCAGAATATGTTGCTTAGAGTATTAGATAAGCTACAGTGTGTTAATCAAATATTTTCGTGATATGAGGGCAGTTGAGAAAACAGTACAATTTTTGCTAATGGCACTGGTAAGTAAACGGATCTATCATTACATTGTCATGAAAAGTGACATTGAGCAGAAACACCCTGCCAATCCCTAGAAGATAAGTATTTAATGTAATTAGACAGACACTGTCTCCTTTGTTGAACGTAGCATTAATCACCCAGAGAAGTCCAACTTTATATGAAATGGCTTTTTCTGATATGTCTTTGTATTAGAAAGCTTCTTACATGGTTTTGTCATGATGATATATTTGAAGAAATGACTGCTATAGCTATACGGTTTTCCTCATGACATATCTGGCTGTTCTGTGTTCCATAATATTATTTTTTTTTATTTAGCAGTGTTACATTATATAGCCGTGACTTGTTTCTAAGTCTAGAAACCTACACGCATTTGGAGCTGAACCTCTTTGAAACAGTTAATGCATTCATCTTATGAAATACAAAAGAAACACAAATAGCTTCCATTATGTTCTTCAATTCTTCCTATGTGGTGTTAGCACAGGTTCATTGTTATGGCATAAGCAAAATGTTTCTGGCCTCAAATGCTAGTTCATAATATCACACAAAAAAAGAACTTCTTTCTATGAAAATCACATTGTTAAATTGATGAAAAATGTTGCCCCCTTCCAGAATTCATTGGCACTACATTTTTTTTTCTCCTCTGTTGCTTGTAATTTGTACTGTGAAATGCTTTCTGGTTATGAACTGGTATCAACTTGAATCAATGCACAGCTGTGTCTTCCCACCTTCTCAGTGGTGCAGAGGGCTTTGAAGGGAAAGAATAGGGTTTAGTCAAAGATGACAGCGGACTTCACCGAGTAACAGGTGGAGGTCAAGTCGGTTTATTTGTTGGGATGAACAGAGCGCAGAGATGAAAAATCTTTGCCATAATAAGGTTTAGGAAGACAATGCTGACTAGTCTAAGCTTTGATTCCAGCTGACAGATCCTGCTCTAGTGTTCATTACTTGATTTCACAGTTCAGGCAATTTTAAGAGGCTTAAAATTATATTTCTGCTCTCCTCTATAAAACTTTTCGATCACTTTCTAATTTTTGCTTTAAGTAAAGTTATAGGGACTCCCTAATGCATCACTCCTGCCTTTAGACTCTTACAAAGTCAATATGCCATCAAAAATGTAAGGATAAGCTTTTTTTTTAGACCCCTACTTTTACTGATTCTTTCTATAAATGAAGTAAAAATTTCACATGTAGGCACCAATTCGATTAGAAAATTAAAACTTCAGAAAATTCCTCTGAAAAGTGGATAGTAAAATAAGCATGATGCTTAAGAAGTCACTGTTCCTGTCTGGGCATACGGGATTTTTATGTTACTGGTAGCAGCATTAATGAAGCTACGCCACCCCGGTGTGGTAAGTTTCAATCACCAAGTGCCGGTGAGCCATGCTCCATCCTGAAAGGGAGTCACAGCAAGACCCCAGATAATCAGAGCAGAACGTCCTGACATTGTGTGGCAGTGCTGAGACTGCGATGACCTGTCAGCATCGTTGCATATCAATGCAGCATCACAAAGGGATTTCAGAGGGCTGAGCTGCAAGTGTGCAAGTCTCTCCTAGGTTAGCCTCCTGCCCTTCCCCTGTGCCAGCTGCTGGGAGGGGAAGGTAGGCGTTTCTCCTTTCCCACCCTTTTTCTTCCACCACCACCACCACCACCTGCTTCCTACCTGCTGGAGTGGGCAGAATAGGAGTATCTTTAGCCATTTGCTAAAATCTTCCCCCTCAGACTTTCTATTACTTCTGCATTCATTCTTTGCAGGAAGAGGAAACTCACTGGTCAAACCCTTGGACACCAGAATAGTTGCATGCAGTTTCCCAGGGAGCCAGATAGCTCTAAAGCTTCCCAGTGAGTGACAGTTTCTCTCTTCTATTCTTCTGCAACATGTGTTTTACACATATACTGAAAAATGTTAATATAAGTTTACAGCCAGATTCTTGCTTTTTTTAAAAAAAAATATAAAATCTCCCAAAGTATATACACTTAGAGCACCTCAGCACACATGTCACTTTTTTACGTAGGAAAAAGTGTTGGATGCTCTTATACACATAACATCATTGGGCTTGAAAGCTGTTAGCTCATTCAGAGTTAGTGGCAAGAACACTGGACTTGCCAGCACCAAACTGTGAAACCTTTTTTGTGTGACTAGTAGAAATCTCATGGGGGTAGAAATCCAAAAAAAGGGGAGGAGGGGGGTGTAAATCTGTGCATTTGGATTCGAGTATCTTCAATACCATGATATCAACTTTGTCCTAGAAGTCCTTGAATCACAAATCATTGGAGGCTGGGAGAGTATTTTGGAGAATTATCACTGTATGCTTTCCCTGGTCTTTTACTCTTTTCTAGGCATCCATTAGTTACCACTGTCAGAGAGAGGATATTGGGCTAGGTGGATCCCTATAATCTGATATGGCATGGCTATTTTTCTGTGTTCCTAAGCTCATGAGATCAAGTTATGTAGGATTATTTCATAATGCCAGAGCAGCAGTTTCTGAGGTTCGACAAAGCTATCTAGCAGTGTCTAATAAAAGAAAAATTCTGTCCCATACTGTAGTTTTCTTGGTCCAGTGAAGCAGCATCCTCATGCATACAAATAAAGTTACTTCTGATAGCTCCCTCTGTCCCTTCATTTTTGTAAGCTAAAGTGCCATTTTCCTTTTTACAGCTTAATTGAACCTAAATGCACCCATTTTCTGCAATGTGGTATTTTGGTAATTTTACTATTTGCTCGTAAGTTTTCCCTTAAGCAAACTGAAAGCTTCCCCTTTATCACTTCACTGGGCCAAGATTTCACACAGTATCCTGCTTGCTACAAAATATGATAGTGTTCTCTCTCACCTTGTTTCTTTTTTCTTCTTTTACTTTCTTTTATAAAATTAGGATATCTAAGAAACCCCGAACACCGCGGAGCACTACATGGTGGGTGTGCTTATTCAAACAATGCCAATGCTCTTGTTCTCGGTGCATAGACATTTTGTGTTGGTTGGGGGGATGTACCAGGTGTCCCTCTTGTGTGGGTTCTCCAGTGTCTAGTAAGGAGAGAACTCATGCCGAGCACTTTACCAGAGCGACAGCACTGGAGGGAGCACTTATTTGTTACCTCTGCCCTTCCGATGCCTGTTTTCATGAAACTTGCAGGGACTTTTTCCTTGCGAGCCCTCTGCCTCTCTGTCAGATGTGTTTTAAATTGCTCAGTAGATGAGAGAGGTGTTGGGCAGATCACGCAAGCAGACCTGCAGGCGGCATGGTCATACACAGCTCCTCTGGAAATGATACCAAAGCCAAACTGCTGTGCTCTGCCTTCTCTGCAATGGAACATTTTATTTTTTCCAGGGGTATTCTTTGTTCCTCCCAGAATCCTAAAGTCATTGGGAATGCAGAAAAATGAGGCTGATTTCACCTATCCAATATCACCTGCCTGAGAACCGATCTGTTGGAAAGCAGTTTAAGTCTCTGCTGCCTGGGAGCTGCCAAGCCTTCCCCAGGAGCTGCCGGTGGCAGGTCCGCAGTGCCATTCCAGCGGGCGCTCACCAGTGTACAATTGGCAATGGACACTTTCCAGTAAAAGAGCACAGCAGCTGTAGGTCAGCTACAAATTATTTTTTGTGTTACAGAGAAATGAGATGACTGTTCAGTCCTGTGACTGTCAAACCTGGGCAGTCATATGGTAAGAATACCAAGAACCACTGGATAGCAATACATAACAGTTCCATGAGTACACTCTTGACCTGTCAAATTATAAATCCATTTCAGTTTGGTACGATGCACATGAATTCAGTTCGCAACTCTTTCTTTCTTTGGAATAATGTATAAACTCTTCACCTCAAACTGTGCAGAAATCAGGTGACTTTACAGTACATGGTAAATTACCTGAGCCATTTTCAATCCTGATCACAGCTCTTTTATTAATTAAAACATATGTTCAATGGCAGTGTATACCGATTAAGTCTTCAAAACCAATATTAACACCAAACTTAGTCTTGTCATCATAAAAGTCATTTAAAAACATTACCATGCAGTAACTGAGGTCACAGGTCAAAAAAATCTGCATATTTACCCATCTCCATCTCATGCCTTTGGCATTTAGCAGCCATCATTGTTATATATAGCCTGGATAGCCAACGATCTTTTGATGACGTGCAAATAATGAGCAAATGATTTTTGAGAAAATAAAAAAAAAAAACCCGAAAATTTGACTCCATCCTCTTCAGTTACTAAAATTCCCTTTAGTATCACTTGCAATTTAGCATCCATATGCATCTCAGGAAGATATAGTTGAAACATAAATCTATTCTGGGTCTTTTACTTGCAAAAATATCATACCTCAGCTATAATCATATGCAAAGACTTTTTAGAGGGCTTTGTAAATGCCATCCAAATTTATGATGGCATTTTTTGCCTTACAGCTATAGATGTTCCATCCCCAAAGCACCCACATAAAGGTATATTCTCCTGTGGATGGCTGCAGTTTGTCCCTGCTGCTATATCTAATCTGCCAAGTATGCTGAAAAACTCTCAAATAACATTAGAAATGAAACAAATGTAGTCATGAATTTTAAATTATGAGATGTCTAAAGACGTCATTAGAATTTTTTTTTTATTCTTATTACAATAGATATTTATACAATGCAAAACAATACTGAAACTAACATTAAATCAAAGGGAAAATTATTTTGCTGTTTATTACACTTCTCATTAAAGTTTTCAAATATAAAACTCATGCAATTATATTTTGAAGAAGTCGGTAATATCTTGACTACTAGTTTATTAGTTATTGAAAGAACCACTTGGACAACAAAGCAGGAATGAAGGATAACTTAAGAGATCTAAAACAACCCAGAAGCTGCTGTAAAAAAAAAACATAGAACATAGATGCAAACAAATAAGATAATACACTTTATGGAAACATTTAAGGCAGATTTTAATGGGTAGGGTTTTAAAATAATGATGAATCTTGTATTGCACAGTTTTAAAATTCTGTAGACAGGATTTTCCATTGGTATAAACTGATATTTCTCCTTTGTAAATAGAGCAGTGCTCATTTACAAAGGAGAAGTTTCAACTTCTTTTTCCTAAGTGACATCAGAATTTTGATTCTAACTTGAATTATCATTTTTGGCTAAAAATTGCTGAGGAGTGGAAAAGCATTTAAAACCTAAAGCCATTGAATCCATTTAATGCGCCTTTGGCACTTCTCTCTCTCAGTCCTTTTTGAATGTTCTGGTCCTCATTTTAATCAATCTCTTTTTATTAAGTTCTTTGGCTCATTTACTTGTACGTGCATTTGCTTTATTTTATTTGGAACATTTCTTTTGTAGTGTCTTGAAAAAGAGTTGTGACATTTCTTTTGGATAGCTTCTTAAGTATCTGGCAGTCACCTATGATACGATATTGATGGGTACGGATAGATTAGTTCTGTTTTCCTGATGATCTGTCAGATGTCGAGTTCTGAAGAAACTGATTGTGTGTGTTGGTGATGCATATGCAGTAGTTTGATAAGTTGATAGAGGGGAAGCTTTCATTTTTCTTCTATAAAATCACTGTTTATTAAGCTGGATTTAGTCTTGTGAAGCAAGGTACTCACTAGCAGGTAGTTAATCAGTGATCATGGTAACTCAGAATGTGACCAGGGGAGCAAGTATCCATTCAGAATGTAGAAATTAAAGAGCGCTTCATTAGGATGAGTGAATTTCCATCTGCGTTGTATTTTGTGTATACTGGAGCAACGGATACGGTAAACTGATGGATGGCAGTTAGTGTGATCATATCTCAGCTGATGACAAATAAAGTTTGCTCAGCACTAAGTAGAACAGACTTACTATGATTGACAGTAGTATAGCCATCAAAATTTAAAGAAGCTTGAAATTAAGAATTCCCCAGAAAAAAAAGCAGCTGATCAGCATTTCTGTTGATAACTGATTTCAGTGAAATTGCTAGAATAATTTGCACAGAAGGATGAAAATTCCTTGAAAAATTCTTCCCATATACCAGTTTTTTCTTCAACAGCCAACTTGTTTTTCTGCATCATCTATTTGTTCTGCATGTTGTTGAGTTCATGGTCCACCTGGTAATATCTGAGCTTCTGTGATTCCTTTTCATAGTGCCCCTTGAGAATGAAGATCCAAACCATATTTCACTCATAGCTTTTGTTATGAAATCTTCATCAAGAGCCTAGTGGCAGAGAGCTACTGGGAATATTGGGGTAATTATCCAAAAGTCATCTTTGGAGATGAATATTAGCTGGTCTACCAATGTGGCTAACTTGAGATGGAGTTATTGTTTAAGATGTGTGCACTCAGAATAATATTAGTAATTAATCAAGTGAAATTGGATGGATATACAGAATAGATACAGATATAGCTATAGATTTGGAGAGAAGGGGAATTGTTCTCCTCTTAAACTGCTGTGACTGCATTCACTCCATCAAAGTTAATCCTTATTTCAGTACCTCTCTAAGTAAGGTACATAGGTATATTAATAGATATTTATTTGTTCTGGGAAGCATTTGTGCATTCAATTCTCACGCATCATTTTCTGGTCCATTTAAATATATATCAGCCTCATACATGAAAATTTGAAGATCTTTAGCTGTACTCAAGGAGGACTCTTATGTGGTGCGTTTCTAGTACTGGCAAATATAAGGAGGTAGAGGAATTAAAACCATCACAATGCTCCAGTGCCCCTTAGAAGATGAGGAACATGAAGTATTCCTGTGCATTCACTGATTAAACTTGGGCTGGAGGTTTGCGAAGTGCAGAGTTTTGGAAAGTCTTACTGCGGGACTTCAACATCCGTGCAATGGCTCCAGTAACCAGTCTCTCAAGGACAAGGATCCCATTTTCGCTTGCATTGTGCATTGAGCAGAAGGGTGTGATGCATGATGTGGAATGAACAAAATAACTTGTGTGTTTAGGGAAATGCCAAATTAATGAAAATTCAGAAAGCTCTAATGTTGAAAAGGCACACAAATTCCTTGATAGAAATATAATGCTGCTAACAGTTTCAAGATTATTGTTGTCTGAATTTTCTGCTTATTGTGTACTGCAATTAAAATTCTTTTCAACTGAAAAACCAATGTCAAATTAATATTTCCTTTTGGAAAAAAATACGAAAGTACACATCTTGTTCCATTTAGCACCATCATGGTCTTTGATCTTGTTCCTTCTGTCCAGTGAAAAAAATGGATTCATGTTAATGGGAGCAGGCTAAGACCATATATGTTTGGCATACATATACTTATACAATCACATGAACACAAGTACAGTAAGTTAAAGTAACACACCCACTCAGATTTCCATCTGTGTTTTATGCCATAAATCCCTTTATTTTCTTTTTTATTTAGCAATTAATTTTTCCATTTATTCTGTAGTTAAAAGTTGCCATAAGATGAAAATAGACTAAGTCTGATTTTCTTCTCCTGCACTCTAAATAACATTCAGAGGAGACTCAGACCTGAATTATGAAATCTGTGTTTCCTAAAAGTGCCAGGTGTGACTGTGATTTGGACAACAGTCCTATACACAGAATAGTAAGAAACACTTTTAAACCCCACCTGGGTTACCCAGCCGTTGTGTTCTGGCTGTTCTTGTTTATTCCTTGCTCGGAGCAGATGGATAGAAAGAGGCAGGGAACGGGGAGGATCCTTGGCTCCATTCCCTATTCACCGGCCAGCGCAGCTGAGACGGGTTGGGGGATATTGTAATTTGTTGCTGCCTTGCACCAGAGAGGAAACAGAGGAGAGTCGGGACTCAGAGGTGTCCTTATGAGTTGGCACTACCCCGTCCTTGGGGCCATGTGTAGTGCTGAAATCTGGTCTTCAGTGCAGTGTCCCCAGTATTCATTAGCTCTTGGGAACAATGCTGAGGAAAGCCATGCAAGGCAGCAGCATCCTCCCTGGGCTCTGCCCCGGGTAGCTTCAGTTTTAACTTTTTAATTTCCTGCATCCCTGAGCAACACAGGAGGGGAGGCTGCGGACTGGGGACCACTAAATGTGTTAAAACTCATTAGGTATGAAACAGAAGACATTTAAAACTAGCCAAGAGTCTCAAACATGGGTGCCAAAAATTAAACACCTAATTCCATATTTAGTCATTTATCTTAGTTCCTGCCTCACAGCTGTTAATATACATCATGCTATCTCATAGATGGCCTGATTTTCATAGGCAACGGGCTATGAATATACACCATGCTAACTCAAGTGTTGAGACTGCTTACCTAAAAGTGAGACTTGTAGTATCAGATTTAAATTTTTCTGGGTGATTAAACCTGAGTTCCCTCGCTCTCGCTCTCAGCTCCTGAAAGGAGCTTCCATAGAATGACCAGCATTGTAACATATGGCTTAGCAAGGGGGTAAAAAAGAAAATGAGTATTAGAAATGGATGGACTAAAGAATACGCAGGATATATCAGGCACATTAACCAAACATATGGTGCTAAATGAGATATTTTTTTAAAATTGCAAAAAAATTGACATTCCTGGCAGTCTCAAGGATAATGTGACATGGCTGTGATAAATTTAGAAGAATGGGACATATTTTGGCTTGTTCTTGGAAACCTTTTTCTTGCATGCCGACTGTATTTCTTCTTTTATTAACCCATTCAAAGGATGTTTGAATTTTGCTGCTAGAGCACCACGCTAGCACAACATAAAATGTGAATGATGCTAATTGCTTTGCACTGCCTAACTTTCTGTCATACCTTCCCCTCTTAAAGGACAAAACATGCTTTGGAAATGAGCTGGCAAGCTCATGTTATTCTTTCTCTTGGTCAATATTAAGTGATGCAATTAAGCTCCTGTTTGCATATTCTGAAATAGGAAGCAGCCATTTTTTTCTTAAGATCTGATGGATATGATCACTCAAAATAAAATGTGTCATTACAAACCTCAAACAAAATAAAAACATGGTAGAGTTGGACTGTTCCAAACCAATACATTTCAGAATACCCTGAAATAAAAAAAAACCAACAAAGTAGTGGTAATAATGGCAATCAGAACAATGATAACAAACAAATATAACAAAAGTAGAAACCAATTATCAGTGCTTCAATTTGTCTTTCTACTCAATTTTACAACATAGTGTTACATTAGAATCTCTATTTTCACATGAAAACAGCTGCCTCGACCATAAAATCCATCTCCATATGAACGTGACACTTATCAGCATTGCCACATGCAAGTTCATTCATCAGCTTTGTTGTAGCTCCTCAAGTTCCAGTGTTCGGCCACAATCACATGAACTTGCTACAGCTTTAAACCATATTCCATTGTTCTCTCTGCCCCTTCCCCCTACCACAGCTTAGGTGAGTCGAGCAGGTTTTTTAGCACAGGGGTAAAAGAATAGCTTCTTCACTTTCTCAGAAGCTTTATTATCTTTCCCATAACCCTGAAGAGGTTATGCAGCTAGAGGATATGGGGGAAAGCAGGGAGTTCATGAGCCAGCTGAACCATACGGTGCATAGACTTAAGAGATCCTACTCCTTCCATGACCTCCGTTGCTTGCCCAGGGCAGAGGTACTCCTGTCCCCTCCTGGATCTCTGCCTATGGGCTGCACAACCATCAGCTGCATGTGGGACCTTGTGCCTCCACGCAAGAGGGCTGCATGACCTTGCAGTTAGAGCAGCTCACAAGCAGGCATATATTACTGTGATAATCCCTGTGCATAAATAGTCACTTGTTCTGTCCATGATATTTTGCACTTAGAGGGTTGGAGTCTGCTACGTTAAAACCTGCCCTGGGGGCAAACGTAGCCCCTTCCACAGCCCAGCGCAGAAGAGATGAACCCATGGCCTTGCTGCCAGCAGCGTAGTTCCTCTACCCCCCCGAGCACAAATATTGCCACTGACCCTTGACTTTGTGTTTAGGGCTGGGGTTGACACTCATTTGGTGTTTCTATCCCTAGTTCCTCTATCATAAGGAAATCTGGGTCAACAGCACCATTACTTCTTTTGAGTATCCTTGTCCTGAATATGGACACTCAAACACAGAGCAATAACTAAGTTACATCACAACATGCCATTTGAGCAGAAATTCAGCAGGCTGCATTGGAATATTTCATTGAAATACCTTAGTTCAGTCTCCTTTTCTCTCTTACCCCCAAACCCAACTAACTCCTTTTGCTTTTGTCCCTACTCCAAAGTCCTTAAGACCAATATGAAAAAACAAACCAAACACTATTTTTCTTGCACAATAGTCTGTCAGTTCTAAACTTTTATTTTTAAAAGATTAAGTGTGTAACCTTTCTTGCTATGAGGAAAAAGCCACCACAACAGCAAACCCTTGTAGCAAACAGTTTCAAGACAGAAAGTTGCAAGTACAACACTGGAACTCCAACCACTCCTTTACTTTATTTAACTTTCTGAAATATAAACTGCAAAACCTCACTGAAACCATTAAGACCCCAGCAGTGCAGCATTAATACAAAAAGGCTCCTGCATATTGCAATCAACATCCCAGGGACTATAAAACTAGTAATATTAAATACAAAGTTAATAATATTGTCCAGAGATAATATTGTCCAGGCCTCTCTCTTTACTTTTTAACAATTAAATTCTATAAAATACAGAGTTGGAAATAAGGCTGAATGACTTTGCTAGTGGAAGTTCAACTTCCACATTACCTGATATTTTGCTTTTGTACCTGAAACCTCAACTATTCTGCACCTTTGTTTTGCTATATCCCTATGGATATGCAAAATGTCTGATGTACTGAATATACTGGAAATTATGTGTTTTCAGAGTATGTGCAGATAATCAGAACACCCATATGCTTCTAGAACTATAAAAATATAGAGAATAATACAGACACACACACATATTCTTCATCTATATGCTGTAATATTCTTTTATCCAAGCATAAATCATACGCAGAAAAGGCTCAGATTTTAAGAGACTATTGCAATATATTCATTCCACTTATTTCTTTGGTGCCACGGGCTTGATATGGTATCAACGGGAGTTTTCTTACCGAATATAACAAACCGGTCATATTAGCATTACACCATTTCTGCTTGTCCATGGGAGAGGTTTCACCCAATGGCAACTTAACTTTGATTTTCATTGGAAGCCTTTGATATAGTTCAAGGGCATAATAACAACTCTGAAATAATTCCAGTGCGGCTTCTAATATCAAGACACAAATACCATTCACCCCTTAAAAAAATTTGAAAGCAAAAGGGAACCACATAAATATATTACTTTCAAATACCTTTGAAGTCAAGAGAGTAAGGAAAGGCAGAGTTTGAACTCAGAAAACTTTATTCTCTAGTTGTGCCTTGAGTCGTGCAGCACATTTAAAAGATCCATTTGCAATAATCTACTAAACCAGTGAGTGAAAGACAGAACTCATAAAAAGCCTGTAAAAATCCAAATGCTCCAGCTATTACAGATTTCTAAAAATAAAGCAGAGTAGGTTTCAGTAGCAATAATAAGCTGCATCTTATCCATATTTCAGATTTAAAGAAAAATATGGCTGCCTTCTAGTACTCATTGCTCAGAGCAAACCATGGCCGCTTCTGCCTCAAAAAAGACCACAAATAAAAGTGAGCTTTCAGCTTGCTGTTGTATTCCGTTTCATTTGTCCTTTAAGTTTATCTAGCTGCTTCTGCACCCACTTTCACAATGCATAGGCTGTCGTTCCATGACCTAGCATTATTAAATTGCACTTATCAATCATTCTTGCCAGGAATGCCATCGCCAACTACATTAAAGAAGTCAGAGAAGTCTGGTTTCAGCAGTCCCTCGCCTTCGCAGACCTCCTCCCTTGGAACGGCTTTCACACAGCACCATCGACCTGTCATTACAGGACCCAGAGGTGAGGCCTAACCCAAGAGCCCCCAAGCAGCTTAAATGTTAGCCACGGCACCCAGTGTCCGTCCCAGCACCTTTCCACGGAAAGTCATCGCCACGTGTGACCCACTCAGTGAGAAGCTGTGCTTCAGAAGCTTGATAACCTAGAGGTTTTAGTTGTCAAGACCTGTGTTTGGTTTTGCTAGGCTGGGCTGTTTGGTAAAACTCCCGATGACCATTCAACAGTGCCTAAGGTGGAAACACTGGTTTCTGGGGGCTTAGGGTTTTATTTGAAGAGGGTGGGAAAAGGGACAGAATGTGTTACAGAGAGTGTCTTCTGCTTGTGTCCATTCAAAACATAGATTCAGTCTAACTGCTCGAGATAGGGACCCATCACTCACTTCTCAACCACTCCTGTCTTCCAGCACTATGGCTTTGTTTCTGCCAGTCATTTAGTGCTCATGTTGTTGGTATCAGTGTGCTGAAGAACTGCCTTGTTAGGGGACTCCTTTGAAGTTGGTTCCTGCAATGCTTTGGCTAGTTTTCTTCACAGTACTCTTCTGACTGACTTTCCAAGTAAAAGAGATGTCCTCTGGGTCTAGATGTGCTTATACATTTTTGTTAGAAGGATGCATTTGCATTTAGCCTAGAAAACTAAATGCAATACTCAGTTCACATTTGAAAAGGAACTCACTTGGGCATAGTAATATACACAAATGAATGAATCTTCTTACAAACCTCTTTGGAATATATAAAAATAGGAATGAATGGTTGTGACATGTTTCTTTCTGCTATGAAATTTTGTCTCATTTAGAGCAGATTATTAAGGAATTGGTCGAATGGTGAAGCATAAAAAGACATATTAGCAATTCATGCTAGAAATTATTTTGAAATGTCTGTTTGGCATTAGTGTGGTTTTACTGAGGGCAGCATAAACCAGGAGGAGCCTCTTTGCACGCTCCAGGTGATGCAGCGTGAAGTAGTGGAATTGCACTAAGTTGAAGCAAGGTCAGAATTGCACTTCATGAGTTTTTGTGCTTTGTTAAATCTACTTACTGTAGTTTGATTTGTTGTGGTTAATCCCATAAAAATTATTTATTACCCTTAGACACACACCTAGATCCTCAGAAGATATTTAGGCATCTAAGTACTATACAGATTTCCCTTGAAATTTGGATCTGAGCTATCTGGCAAATATCTCTTCTTTTAAAAGCCTTGATAATTGGTGATATAAGTATGAATAATATGAAAGTTCCATTAACATTGTGTTCAGTGCACATCAGCTGACTCTGAATTCCTATCTTTTAGAAGTTCAGCCTTTTAGATGTGAGTTGTTGATTGATTAGTTAATAGGCCTTTCTTTATTTAGCTATGTTTTACCTCACACTTATTTTTTAAGATCATTGAATGCCTTTGTCTGCCCCTGTTTAGACCTTCTGTATTTTGGATTTTTGTGTGGTTGAGAGAGGAAATGTATCATTGGTGACGTCTTGTTTAAATCTCATTTACAGTCTGTTTTAACAAGACTTTTTCTGTGCACCAGGGGATATCCATCGGCTATGTGAGAAGAACATTCAGACAGCCAGAATTTGAAAGAGCAAATAAAATGATTACAGTTCCCAAATTTTGTTTGTTTGGAAGAAGATGTCTTTACTAACTCCAAAAAGAAGTAACACAGTTTCTTATCATCATGGTTCCTAACAGGTTAAGCAAAAACTGTTCTTCTGCGACATCATTTGGAAGCATCTTCTGTTTTATGCTTGTTCACAAACAAAGTCTTACAGACTTTCAGAAAAAATCCATGGATTCTTTAAGTGTCATCATCCTGGAAAAATCTTGCTCTAGACTTCGTTCTTTGTTCTTTTTGGACATTCCTCTTCAGTATTCTTCCACAGCACACTGGCTGTGTTTATTTCTCTTCTACAACAAATCGTTCTGTTAGTAAGGGTAATATACTGAGATGGATTATTTTCTGCAAATCCAGCTTTGTTCTTTACCCCATTCCCTCCAGTGTACTTTAGGACAGTAAGCAGAAGAGAGAAGCTTTTTAGGTATCAAAAGTGGCAACATAAAGAGTATAATGCAGTCATATAAGAGGATATAATGTTGGAGCAATTCATATCCACTATTAGTTACTGGAAGTTATACCTTTCTGCAGAAATGATAGGTATAATATAGTGCATACATTGCATTGTCTTTGGATACATATACATTATGTAAATGGTCAGTGGCAGGTCATTCTGAGTGGTCTTCAGAAAAGAGTGAGCAGGATTTAATCTTCAGTCTGCAGAGATATTTCAGAGAAAGGAAAGTCACGAGTAAGTAGGTCACCATCAGAGTAAGCTCCTCAGCCAACTGAACAATTACAAGAAGGTTCAATCTCCTTCTGATGTTCATATGTGCAAGTTTATCACTTGGATGTGTATATGAGATGCATTTGTAAAGCATGATCAAAATAGCAGAGAAGAAGCTGTAGACTATTCATGGCAGGTGTTGTCATTGACAACCAGTGATGTATAACTTCTCAGGAATATTCCCAAATCTTTCACATGCTTCCAAACATTCCTTAGAACACAGTGCACATCTTATGCTGGGGTATCCCAGGATGCTGAGTGCCCTTCTCAGTGATCCCCACAATGAGTCATTTTGGAAACAAAACTTGCTTGGAGGAGGAGTAGATCCTTAAGAGGATTTCTTAGCTATAAGGTGCTCCATTCAATGAACCAGTTGGAAAACCTCTGTTCTCATGAAATTGTCTGTACTGTACTGTGTTGTGGAAGGCTGTGCACTAGTTTCCTATCTGCATTGGTGCTGCTGCCAGTACTCAACCCAGCTGGGCAGTAGCCAGCAGAGAGGATCTGAGCTGGCTGACCAAAGGACCAGATGTGCAGTGAGTGCTGGCGCATGGATGCCAATGCTTCAGTGACTCTTCAGTAGTTCCAACAGATGGTGGTAAGATCCAAGTTTCTTTGGTGATAAGCTAGCAAAGTGATTCATGGAGCCTCACTTGATGATGGCAGTTTTTTGGGCATGACTCTATGAATGCACCATATGTCTTCTCTGGACCAGTGTGGTTAGGATTCAGTGTCTGGCAGATGGTAAATTGATCACCTATAGGGTGGCTTTAGCATCGCTATCAGTTTTAGAATTTATTTCAAAGCATTGAAAATTCAAGCAGTTAGATCTCTATCTCCTATGCAGTGTACTTTTGTTACCTGCAAGTTAGATTATTTGGTGGTCAGTGTAGCTCACCACAGTACTCCAGTATTGCAAAGCCATCATGTATTGCTGGCATCTTACAAAGTTTCCCAGACATTAGTCCACTTGAATTCTTTACCAGACAGTGAAGGATTTAACTACTATGGGTGACAGCAATATTTACATAAGTGGTTTTAGGCTTCCATGTATTGCTACTTACACTCTAGTGACTTTATATCTGGAGCTGGCTGAAACATTAAATTGACCACGATCTTGTAAACCTAGGATATACAGCAGCCTGTGCTGTAGAGCATTCAAGCATTTCCACAGAATATGACAGCATAGATCCTGCAAGCCAAAAAGCAAGGAAGAAAAGGCAAGGAAAGAAAAAAAATAAGAATGAGATGGTATGTTAGGAAGATAAATGAAGGAGAAACACAATTAGAAGAAACAAGAAATAAAGCACAAAGGGAAGAACACAAGGAAGTGGGGGTGTGAGCAGAAAGAGAAGGGATGAAAGTCAGTTAATGGAGTGGTTCCCATTGTATTAATTTCCTCCATAATAAGCATTGCCATTGAGATTTTTATCAGTGCAAGGCCTACCAGGGAAACTCTGCAGGATAGTATTCTCTGTGCCAAAGTGGCAAAAACTTTATGTCACATATCTGGTAAGACATTGTGCCCTTCTCTATCAAAATTCTCCACAGGGTCACCAAAATATCAGTGCCTGTTAGCTGTCCTGTCAGTCACCTTCAAGCAAATCAAAGCGATAATTCCTGCTAACTTGCTCCAGAGCTACACAGTGTAAAAGGACATTTTGTAATATCCTATTCCGTACAACTATCCGTGGCTGCTCCTCAATCTTGTCAGCTGGCAGACTAATGTAACCTTCTACTTTCCTTTGAATTTTGACAAAAACAAAGCGGTGCAAGTTCATTCCACTATAGACACCTCAGATCAGGGGATGGTAAACTAGGAAGGAAATTAACTCTATCCCTGCCAAAACCAGGACAGTAATGTAAGCCAAAAGATGAGAGAGCCACACCACAAGGGTAAGAAAGTTGGGTAGAAACCATAAATTGCATAACACTGACCAACAGATGAGCATTGCTTTTGCGACAGTGAAAGGCAATGCTCCAGTTTACAATGTCAGGATAGCTGGCTGTGTAGGTGAAGATTTTGATTTCCTCCATTCACTCTGAAATAATAATGATGCTGAAGGAAAAACAGTTTCCTAACAGATGGCCCCAAGGTCAGGGTTTAGTAATTACTAGATACCCTACCCAAACTGCCATCTACTCCCATGTCCCAGACAGGGGAGGGCAGAGAGGAAGGCTTGCAAACAGTTAAAGCTTCAGCTAAACAAAAGTCAGGAACCGTGTAATTCACTATAGACCCTCAGATCAGGGGATGGTAAACTAGGAAGGAAATTAACTCTATCCCTGCCAAAACCAGGACAGTAATGTAAGCCAAAAGATGAGAGAGCCACACCACAAGGGTAAGAAAGTTGGGTAGAAACCATAAATTGCATAACACTGACCAACAGATGAGCATTGCTTTTGCGACAGTGAAAGGCAATGCTCCAGTTTACAATGTCAGGATAGCTGGCTGTGTAGGTGAAGATTTTGATTTCCTCCATTCACTCTGAAATAATAATGATGCTGAAGGAAAAACAGTTTCCTAACAGATGGCCCCAAGGTCAGGGTTTAGTAATTACTAGATACCCTACCCAAACTGCCATCTACTCCCATGTCCCAGACAGGGGAGGGCAGAGAGGAAGGCTTGCAAACAGTTAAAGCTTCAGCTAAACAAAAGTCAGGAACCGTG